GATCTGTGGTTGGGAGTTTCCTGCTGCCCCCGTGTTCCTGCTCTGTTGCCGTCATAACTTCTACCATTATCATCAGTATTAATATCATTGCCATTTTTCATGTAGTCTACGTGTTGCTGTGTTGGCTGCCTCTCTCTGCTCCCTCTGTCCTTCTCTCGCCCTCTCTCTCTCTCTCTGTTTCGCCCTCTCTCTCTCTCTCTTGCCCTCTCTTTCCCTCACCCCCAACCGGCCGAGACAGATGGCCGCCCACCCTGAGCCATGGTTCTGCTCGAGGTTTCTGCCTGTTAAAAGGAAGTTTTTCCTTGCCTGTGTCGCCTAGTGCTTGTTCATGGTGGGAATTGTTGGGTTTCTGTAATTAACTTCAGAGTAGGGTCTGACCTGCTCTGTTTGGAAAGCGCTGTGGGACGGCTGTTGTTGTGGTGTGGCGCTGTATAAATGAAATTGAATTGAATTGAATTAATCTTAATTTTGTAATGTCATTGTCTGAACGTGTGTTTGGACTGATTTTGTATTTTGTGATTTTGTGTTGTTTGGTCTTCCTGCCTCAGGACGACAGATGTAAACTAGCAACTATGCTATAATCTGGCTCATTTACTATCTGTATGAGATTGTTCATTAATGTGCACTGTCCTGATTAAAGAAATAAATAAATAAATGTCTTTGAATCGTTACATTTTATTTACAAGCTGCCTTGGTTTTCTCTGCCTTTGATATGAGTTTCTATTTAGCTATTCTCTCAATCGTGGTATATTATTTTGTTTTTTTTTTAATAGAGTTTATGATAATTTTGTATAAATACAACTCAGATTTTTATCAAAGAAAAAAAGTTTAATAGATAATCTTTTTTTTCATTCGATCATATATGTACTGGTTGGATGTGTTTCTTAGATTGGGTTTTACAATATTTAAGGCAACACAGAAGTTTTGTTCTGGATGTACGACTCCATAATAACTGCTATTGCAACACATCCAAACGGATATTTCTGCCCTTTCTGCAATCCACAGCTGGGTGTGACTTTTCAGGAAATGAAAGTGTAGTTACTTTTACCTGTCCGACGTAATCTTAAATCTAAACAGTTTTATATCAAACCAGTACTTAATATTATGTAAATGTTTCTTAATTTATATATCTGATCATTTAATTTAATTTTCTACTTGAGGAACATCAAATGAAAAATATGTTAAACTGTATAATCTGCATAAGGGGTAAGCAAAGAATAATCATGTTAATGTAGTAGTAGTGGTTGAATTCAGTTTCGTGTGGATAAAATATCATGGAGACATTAAAATGCCTGCGGTCACTGAACAGACACACCATTTAACCATTAGCATACAAAAGGATAAATGCATAAAATATCAGACAAATTGAATTTTCTTTAAAGTCTTCTTACCTTTCAGAGTGCACTTTGCTTAACAGTTTTTCATCAAGTTGAGCTTACGATCTTTCGCATTCTCTTCCTTGAATAAACCAGGAACCTGGCTTTGACACAAGTTCAGGGCAGGTTGAATGCTTGTGTGGGCGGGTATGTTTGCCCAAGAGGTGTGTCTGGTTCTTTGTTGATGGAGAAATGAGCTCTGATTTCGGTTGTCAGTCATGTGAACATGTGAATTAAAGCAGGTTTTTGCCTCTGATTATTTAAGTTATAGAGTTAACTATGAAGTTACATCAGTTTTTACCTGAATAACAAACAACAAGTTTTGCTTTTTTCCCCTTTAATCCAGTTTTCAAAACTTAAAGTTGGCAAAAGCAAATAGCAACATTCAAATAATGCTTTATTTACATTCATAGCCAATTTTGAGACATGCGGGTACAGACAAACATCAGAGCACTACAACACACTTAATCTTCAAGTTATCAGTTTGTATGTTTAAACAAATATTTTTCTTCTTCGGTCTAAGATGTGACTTTGGTAGACAGCAGGGCTGCTTAGATGAACAAGTGTTGTGAATTAAGGTTGTTTTTATGTTTCAGGGAAGGTCTCTGGTTCCTCAAATGACCCTAATGCAAATGGATGGATGAATGTGTAAAGGTCTAAGTGTGGATCTTTCTATCAAACACTGTTCTGATTAACAGATCAAAAACATCCATCAAGGAAATGGCTCGAGGGACTTAATACTTTGAATAAACATCCAGATTTCCGTCACTTTAAAAAAACAATGAGGAGTTGAAAATCTGAGATTGATGGAAATTTCACCAAGCCCATCTCAGCTAGTAGGGTTACTTTGTTGAGAAAGAGATAAGTGGCACTGTTTGAAAATAGCCATTTTTTTCTGCTTTCTTTGTTAAAAATTAACATATAACTAATAATGTTGATTTGTAGGCACTGGGGATCAAAATGTTTGATTGTCCAAATATGTTATGAAGCCAATCATTTCTCTAGAACAAAATCATGAAGACGGATTCGGGAATGAATTCCGAAAAGAGTCATCAGGAAATAAAAACGCTCTTTGCGTGTTTGTCACATGACGTATAGAAACAAACAAAATGAATGTTTTTTTAGGTTACATCATGCTTTAGTCGCAAAAACATTTCTGTCATTATAACCAACAGCTCTGGACAACATGCATTTAAGTTAATTAAAAAAAAAAAAACATGCACTTTCATTCTTTGCTAATGTATTGCCACATTTAAGAATAATACTGATTTTCCTCTGAACAGTTAAAAATACAATTGATCATTTATCAAATAAATAAAAAAAACTCCTAGTGCTTTTGTGTACAGTTAGAATATGTGGCTATAGATAATGAGAGATGTTCTCATACAGAATGATGTGATGGCAGAAAGGTGGAATAGGGTGGACAGCTTCTGAACAGTAAACAATGGTTTCTGCTAAAACATTGTCAAAAAATTCAACTCTAAAATACAGTCCTTAATAGAGGATACAGTAGTGCAACAATAATGTATTGAAAGTTTATATTATATCTCTCTTTCCTCCTTCCTGGCTGGCTTTGCAATGTCTTGTATTTACCCATGACATTTTCCTATAAAGGTTGCATCACAACCTGTAATATATGCCTAAATATGCCTAAAATGGGATTTTCTGTGATTTACTTCCACGAAACAGACAACTTTGGTGAAGTTAAGTTAAAAGAATCAGCCTATAATTCACACAAATATTTCAGAATCAGAATCAGAAATACTTTAATAATCCCAGAGGGAAATTATTTTGTTAATTAATGGCTCCATAAATAAAACTATAAATAAATAAAACTTAATCAATCACTCTGTAAAATAGAATAGTGCTTGGTGCATTGGAAATAAGTTTTAGTGTCAGTCCCTTCAGAAACCAAATGTTTTTTTATTTCAAATCCCCCTTTTTACTATGCTAGTGTCACTGTTTCCAGTAAATATGCATCAGTTATTCATGCCAACACACCTTTTTTTCACAAGCAAAAACATTTTTCACACGTGTCCCAGTGTAACAATAGCTATTCAATTTAGAGTTGAAAAGCTCTTGTTGAACAGGCTATGCTTTGGAGGACATTTTAAAGAGTGTCATGATGACTGTGCATAGTTATTTTGGCTTCTCAGTCAGATCTATCCTCTGTTCCCCCCAAGGCTCCATTCTCTTCTTTAAATATGACTTCCTGCTGAATTCTAAAGATGACAAAATCAAAAATGCTTAAAAAAACTGTACACCAATGCGTCATTTAGATACCATACGTTTGGTTTCTGCAGAAGACGTCCAGGGGGAAAAAAAACCGCTGAACGTTCTGCACCTTTAGCATTATTGCTGCTCTCTGGAGTGTAAATGTACCAAGCTGCACTTGACGGAATGTTCTACAGGTAGAAGGGATAACACTTCCTTCAATTTAGAATTGTGTGGACTTATACAGGTAATATAGTTGGTTCCCTTTTTTTTCTGAGCAGTGGTTTGAGCTGGATTTGTGTGTGTTCAAATGCAACGTGTTGGCTGGCTAGTGTCAAACGCTGGTTACGTGGCCCCTACACATCAGATCCTCCATGGCTTTATTAAATTTATTAAGATTTATTAAAATAAAACTGTAAGCTGTTGGTATTTAACCTTAATCCTAAGAGCCTTTTCAACAATGCATATTGTTTTAGACTCACGTCTGTATAGCGATTAAGGAAACCCGTCATTTTATAATAAAGCACCTCAACAGCAAAACATGGTATAATTGATATAATTGGCAGCTGTGAACTTTGGAGGAAAATGGAGTTTGTGTCATTCAGTAGGCTCTCAATTATTCTGGAAGGAAACTGCTTCAAGTTTGTATAGTAGATATAGTAGATATATTGAACTGTCCCAAAATCAAGCCTCCAGCAAAAGGTTCTGTTTCGAACTAACATCCTGCCTTTTATAAGTTTCTTTTCGGGAAAGCTGATACTTAGGGATAGCTCAGGTTTTCTTCAACGCAAACACTGGACTGAGTGTTTTGTTGCAATATTTTGGTTTATCTTGGTAATTAAAAAAAATGAATCAGTGTGTAAGAACTGAACTAATTCAATTAGGTTTGATCTGATTGTGGCAATTGATTAGACTCTAATTAGCTTGAACTGGACTGTATCATTGAAGTATAGATGGCATTTGTTAAGATCTGGTGCTCGATAAAAATAAAGAAAATTGAATTGCTCAGATATTTCAAATTCAAAGAAGTTGCAATCTGGTGGACGCATGTTGGCGTTTGCACAAACCCCTGTGGCCCGGTAGCTTTTTATAGATGCATGTACAGGGACACTGAATGCGATTATCCTTTCATTATATCCTCTTCCGGTCAGCGCTGTGCTTTGTGTGAGCGTCCCTTTGAGCAGCAAGGCACCTCACTCCCTCCAGCAGCATGGGAGTCCCGTGATGTGGGTCTGGCAGTGGAACGGAGCATTTACGATGTGGAGAGAGATGCACAAAAACGGAAACTTTGAGTGAGTTGACTGTTTTTTTCAACAGTTCAATGCAGCCAAACAAACTGACTTTTTAGCCGATGTAACGTTTCGTCTTTGGTAAAAAGAAATATATGCTACGAATGTCTACAAATGTTAACCAATGCAAGAGAACATTCATTCAAATTCTCAATTGGTGATAATTCTGAATGACAACAAGGTTTGTCTGTGTCCATGTATTTCAAAGTGTCTATTTTGTACAATCAAATTCTGATTAATCCCCTAATTCTATGTAAACAGTTTCTAATTCATTTTTATATTTTTCTCCAAAACATATACACACTGATGCGCACATGGACAAATCACTTTGTTTCTGTGTGTGGATGGACTGGGAATACCATAGATCTATAATTTATACTCCAGGGGTTACAAGGGAAAGTGTTCCAAAACACAAAATGCTACCGGTTAATGCTCCGAAAGCAGATAAAGGACAACGAGACAAAAGTAAAAACTTCAGACTTTTGACTCAATGACAGTAAACTCTGATAAGAAAATTTGTTTTATAAAGTGTCAATTTGTTTTCTAGAATTATAGGTTAAAATACAAACCTCAAAAACCATATTCAGATTCAATTTCCGGTCACATTGTTACTGTACATTTGATGTACGGTAATCCGAATTTATGTCCAGCTAATAAACAAAGCTTTAGGGTTTGTTTGTTTATGCACGCCCACCTACCAATGACTCTTGCCTGCAGCCTGATCTTCAGGTTCTTCTCTTTTCTCCCTCTAGTCACCAGAGTGATCTCCTCCTGTATCACCCCCTCCTGGTGAGTGCGGTACTCACATGTTACCTTTGCTCCTCCTAAAGCGAGGAGAGAATTCAGTTACATGCTAAACAAAGTGTGTTTAATACCACATTCAGGTCAGGTGTGTGACGGGATTAGCCAGGATTATCAAGGTGATTAAAACAGGTCATTCAGACAGACATGAGGAGGAGAATACCGAAGCTCAAAAAGATAAACAGGCATAGAATGAGGGAGTCAGTTGGTTGGTTTCTGCCTGTTAAAAGGAAGTTTTTCCTTGCCTGTGTCGCCTAGTGCTTGCTCATGGTGGGAATTGTTGGGGTTCTGTAATTAACTTCAGAGTAGGGTCTTTCCTGCTCTGTTTGGAAAGCGCTGTGAGACAACTGTTGTTGTGATGTGGCGCTATATAAATGAAATTGAATTTAATTGAATTCATTTTAATTGTGTAATGTCATTGTCTGAACGTGTGTTTGGACTGATTTTGTATTTTGTGATTTTGTGTTGTTTGGTCTTCCTGCCTCAGGACGACAGATGTAAACTAGCAACTATGCTATGATCTGGCTCATTTACAATCTGTATGAGATTGTTCATTAATGTGCACTGTCCTGATTAAATAAAAAAATAAAAAAATAAAAAAATCTTCATTCTCTGTGGAAGATAATCTCATAGCTATAAAGTGCTGTCACAAAGGGCACGTGCTTTTGATTTTAAGCATTTAATATTTGGACGCTTGGAGCCATTAATAAATTAACGCACATGTGTTTTCCTGCGCCGATGCTGATGGACTTACCCTCCAGCGTGGAGTTTATTCGGTGGACACGAAGGCTCTGGGGTTTCCGGGAGGGAGAGCAGGACGGAGCGCAGGAAAGGTCTTTACCCAAAGTGGGAATGTCTGGGACAGTGAAGATGATCTCATAACAGTGGTGACTCTTCAGGAAACCAGCCTTTTGAGAGAAAATAGATGCACAACGGGAAGAAGGGGTAAAGAATAAAGCGCCGACAGAGCACTTTTGTGTGGGTCATAGCTGAATAACATCACACATTAAGACGTTCCTTGCCTCCTTTACCTCCTGCTCCTATTGTCATTTTACTGATGTTTCTCATGAGTATTTCACATTAATGTCATTGAGTTTTTGCTTTTAATGTGAAAAAGATGTTCTGCCACCAGGGACATGATGTACAATCAATTCACATATTTCATATTTTATAAAGCTCGTACATGAAATAATGAAAAACTTAAAAAATATTCACACGTTAAAATATCTTTTGAAACTTTAGCTGAAATAAGTACTTGAAACTTGGTGAGTTTCATTATAACAACAATGATTATACAGCTCTGTCTGCATAAGGTCTCTTAAAAACATAAACAAATTTAATGGGTATCTTGATGTACCAACACATACCTTGACCAAGTAGCTGCCATCCTTCTCCAGGATAGCAATGAGAGTAGAGAGATTTGACTGGTCATCTCTCCGTGTCGGAGAGCCGGGCGGCTCGTCATCATCGGGGAAACGCACCCCACCGGCTTTGGAGGTAGAACCTGGTGACAAATAAAAAAGACAGGAGAAACGTACAGATATAGAATGTCTAAAACTTAAATATTTCCAGTTAACTGAAGCTCATATACAGCAGTTATAACAGTTGTGTGCCTTTACAAACCAGTCAAGTTACTCTTTAATGCAATTTTGCCTATAAATATCCCTTTTCCTTTTCCTTTCTTATCAGGTCTGCCCTATCAAGATAAAGTTTGTTGTACAAATGGAAGCCCTTTCATGCCTATAAATGGTGGAACATCATTAAAATGTCTGTCTGTTTGCCTTCAGACTTTCTAGACAAAAACTGAAAATGACATATGGGTTATGTTTAAAGGAAAAACAGGAGAACAGGCTTTAGTTTAATTTACTGCCCAGTTATCTCAGTGTGATTACTTGATGTCCTTATTGTTTTTTATGAGGAAAAAAAACATTTAAATATCTAAATCGAAATGTTGTATTCTCTTGGCTCATTAAGGATCCAAATTTTCACTTCCATAAACTGCTATAAAAATAGCACAGCTTCATATTTTCTAACAGATTTTTTGGGGGGTTAAATATTTGAATTATTTACAATCCTGTCCAAAACTATCAATTTTCAGTAATTATCAGGATTTTTTACACTTTGAATGCCTTTTTAGGTTATTTTGCATCTAACAAACATTGGAGGTCTGTTGGGTATTTTTACACCAATCTTATATATGTCAATTATGAACCAAAATATTGACTTTGATATATAATTCCTTTTTGTGTAAACTAATAAGGCAGAAACTTTGTTGTATAAACTTTAGATTTCAAACTCGTCATTCATTCACGTTATATTAGGGTCTCATTTAATTTGTCGTTTCATTTTTACTATTTATTAATAAAATCTGCCACATTACAGGCTGATTCGCCAAAGGCTCATTATTTCAGTTCAGGTTTTGTTCTTATTGATCCAAGGAGGCAATGTCTTAAATCTTAAAAAGATTTGTATGTTTGATGTTTTTTAGCAGGGATGAAGTTGTTCCTTGATATTTGCAAAAAATAAATTAATTAATTATCGGGACTCAAGAGGATAGCGTTTCTTCACAGTATTCTATTGTTAAAGCTAAAATTCACCATAAGAAAGACTTTTTTAGTGAGATGTTATCATAGTTAGTATTCTAGTATAGTTAGCAGTTACTATGAACAGAGGTCCACAGCACAGATGCAGAACTCTGTGTTATCATCATACACATATGGCAAGGTACCTATAGACAAAGAGTCTTAGATTATTTCTAATGTCCAAAATCAATTTGTGTCCAATAAAAATATCTGAAACGCAAAAAGCCTCTGGTCCTGGACAGAGATCGACTTTTATTTTCCTGCATCCTGAGCCACACTGTCCCCTGATATTTCCAGTCACATCTAACTACGAAGGCAAAAAGACAAAAGTAGGACACGTGCAGCATCCCGGTTACCTTTCCTTCCCGTTGCCATGGCAATGCAGTTAATTTTGGGCTTGAGTCCGACGGTACCTGTGTGATGTCATCACTGACCTGAGATGAGAACATAGAAAGTAAACACATGGTTACAGGCCACCCGGCACAGCTCTAAAAGACACACAGCGTCTGGAGTTTTTGAGACAGGTCTGATGGCATACCGAATGGTATCGTTTAGAAATCAGGACAGCTGTGCTGGTGCTAAAATATAAAGATATCAACAAAGCCATGAGATAGAAAAATACAAGGGAAAATATGAGCTTTTCTCCAATTTGGTGCCACCATCACACAGTAACAACTGTAACAAACTGATCAATTGAGCCAAGAAGAAAAAAACAACCTCTTTGACACTCCTTTAATTACTAAAATGTCTTTAAGAGATTTTATTGCTATAAGTTCTTGTGAGCTGAACTTTTTTTTGAAAATATTGCTTTTACTGTCCTTCCATATCTAAACAGATGTGAAGCCCCAATACAAGACTTTCCTACCTGAACATGGGAAAGACCTGTCTGGCCTTATTTTGGGCTCCATGCTGTAAAGTTTTAAATTGTAACGAGCACATTTATATTTCAAAGTTGTGTTTAAAATATCTTGAAGTGTCGGTGATTGCTGGTCCTGCTTATGGAATGGCTTTTTTAAAATTCCTTTAGAGCTAATAATTTCATTCATAGTTTATTCTCTTTTAAATAACTCTTTCAAACAATATGTTTCATACTTGCCTTTGGATTGAGATGATTGTTATTACACTCACCCCAAATTCGTAATTTGTTAAATTATTTTCTTTTGTAGAAATCTTTTTCAGTTTGGATCGGTGTCTGCTGATCCACTGAGGAAATCCACCGATTTTTTTCGGATTCACTTTGGCCCGTTGGTCATATTCTTTGGTTTGAGACCGGTGTTCTCGATCTGCCACCCACCCCCATCCCCATCCCCACCCGTCTCCCACCCCCGTCTGGAAGATCTGATCTGCTATTTCTAAATGGACGTTTAGAGTCCGGATCACCAAAACACCACCGCGGCCACTTTTTCCCCTGCATGGATCACATTTAAACCTCCTTTCGGCTTTGCTGCAAACTGGAACGCATTTACAACTCAAAACCGCCTCAGACGGCCAAAAACACAGACCCCCGCCCATCAAGTGGGCATCCAGCAGTAAATCGCCGCGTATTCGCTCCTGCGAGATCAATAATTCCACCTTCAATTTGTAGCGCATTTAAAAGAAAAACAACCTACCTATCTATTTAAATCGGCTACATTCGTTGTACCAGGGCTGGCATGTTGGTTATTATGCCGTCTGTGATTGATGTCCGGTGTCCTTAAAATGGAGAGATGCGGCGATCCTGTCCCGCGCGCGCAGGCCAGGTCGCACGCGCGCCGCGTCAGCGTCGCAGTTGCGCGTCGATTCTGGAGGAGAGGAACGTGTCCCCCGGCTCGTTATTTTGCAAGTTATCTTGTGACTTTCCCGCAGGGGTCCGCTTAATGGTGGTGCAGTGGTCCATGAAGGAATTGCTCATCTAAACATGCAGAGCGTGCCCCCCCCCCCTCCTTTATACGGATAGGACAGGATGACCACATAGGTTTAATGCACTATTACTATGGGTGCTTAACACACTGGTAGTTGTAGCAAAAAATAATGCCATCATCTATATGTGGATATTTAGAAAGAGTCTTTGGACTGATATTTTGAATTTGCTTGCCAAAGTCAAGGAGGGCTTGAAGAATAAAATCGTCATTGAGCCACTTTAATAATGTGAATAGGCTTGTTTCAAGACTTTCACTGTTCATTTAAGCAATACAGAGTCTCTGAGGCCTGATCAGCCCATGTCATTTCCTGTCTTACACCTCCATCTTGTGGAGAAGTTACATCTTTACATCATGACTGAAGTTCTGATGCTTGGTCACAGACATGTTTCACCTGCTTGGAAATTCCCAGAAGCAGTTTAGTACAACAGCTTTGTGGTTTGTGGAGTTCATTTTCCAAACTGTAGTAAAATTATTTTAGTTTCCTGTTTGTTTTTGTGTTAGGTTTTTTTTTTGTGACTAACTTTAACTATTAAATTTGATCCTGTTGTGGCCGAACCTTTAGTCCCTGACACACAGATGTTAGCTTACCAGTCAAACAACACCTCTCAAATGTTAGAAACTGTATTTCCCTGAAAAGGAAGCTTGCTCATGAAACAAGCAGATGGGTTGTAAATACATGGCTTTAGCTTTATTTCATACACAACTGTGCTTTAAATAATCTCTGCAGTTTAGTACCTATTTCAATAACTGGTTAAATTATTATCTTTTAAAAAATTGACTTTTCTTCATTTTTTAGGATACCTTAATTGTTAATAATGGGGTAATTATGAATCTACAATTAATACATAATCACAGCAAGATGACCTGTTGAAGAAATTATGAGCTGTGTTCAGAATGTGTAATAAACCAGTTCCTGCCCACATATGATCATATCCACAGGAGATTTATTGCTTTGACGAAGGTTCAGTTTTACAATCACAGCTTTATTTTGAGCAGAAGTCAACACACAAACATCCAACGGACCTACAGTGGTATGAAGTAACATAAAAAACTGATTAAATGTATTTTAAAAAATGCAAGAAATGCATGAAAAATGGCTAAAGGATTACATATAGCTTAAACACCTGTAAATAGTATTTGATTACATGCAAGTAAACCCTAAACTTACTAGGACTACCAAAGGCTAAAACCAATCAGCTAAAAAGACCACACGGTTAAATGGAATTGTGTTGTATTTTTAAGTCAAATTGTCATGTTTTTAACATTTATTTCAAATGCTTGTAATTGAACCTCTCTGTTTTGCCAACTTTTCTGTTTTAAACTATCTAAATTTGAACCACGATGTAATAAAATATACAATATGTTTTACACCTTCAACCAGATGGTACATTGGATTGGATTTCTCAGCCTCCTTTCTGGTCTCAGCTTCATGCTTGGACTGCAGCTTGTCTTTTTTCTCTTTAATTCCATTCTCATGCTGCTCTTTTAATGCAGCCATCATGTACATAAAAACTTATTAAATTCAGTTGAAAAATGCAAAAAAAAAATGCATGAAAAATGGCTAAAGGATTACACCTGTAAATAGTATTTGATTACATGCAGATTAAAATTTAAATCAATAGGACTATCAAAGGTTAAAAGCAATCAGCTAAAAAGACCATGCGGTTAAATTGAATGTATTCCGTGGATGTGTTTTTTCATTCAAATTTTCATGATTTCAAAGTTTCTTTGAAAAGCTTTTGAAATCTAAAATCCTCTTTTAAATTTGAACAAAGATTTCACGAAAGATCCAATATGTTTTGCACCTTCAACCAGATGATACAATGGATTGGATTCCTCAGCCTCTGTTCTGGACTCAGCTTCATGCTTTGATTGCAGCTTCTCTTTTTCCTCTTTAATTTCCTTCTCTTGCTGCTCTTTTAATGCAGCCAATATGCTCACCCTTTCTTTTTCTCTTTCCTCTCTCTCTCTTTCTCTCTCTGCTTCTCTTCTCTGCATCTCCCTCTTCCTCTCTTCATT